AGAGACTCCTGACAGAGGAGAGAGAGACGCGAGGATGGTCCTTGCGGCATCCAGCCTTCACAGCTTGGGGAAGGAATGATGAGAGCCAGAGAAAAGACTCTAATGGGGTGGCCACTGGAAGGAGGAGGACCAGGATGGGGGGATATGGAAGACAGCTGAAGAGGGTGTTTTAATAACAGAGCAACAGTCAAAATTAAAAAGCTCCAATCAGGTGTGGGATTCTGTGACTGAGAAGGAGAATCACACTGATGCTAAATTCTCCTGTTTTAAGTTTATTGAAGAAAATCTGATAATTCAAATGTCTCAGAAAACTATTCAAATAAGGGTCTCCCTTCAATGATTAAGTTACACCTACAGTGCAGAGTCTAAACTATCAAGTTAAAATGGTTTACCAAGAAAACTAATTTAATACTACTGAATAAATGTCATTTTTCAAGGTCATACTTGAAGCATCAATAAGTTCCATTATTTTTTAAATTTTATTTTGAAATCATGAAACTGAAACTGTTAGTTGCTCAGTCATGTCCGACTCTTTGTGACCCATGGACTATAGCCAACCAGGCTCCTTTGTCCATGGGGATTCTCCAGGCAAGAATAGTAGAGTGGATTGCCATGCCCTTCTCCAGGGGATCTTCCCAACCCAGGGATCAAACCTGGGTTTCCCACACTGCAGGCACATTCTTTACCACCTGAGCTACCAGGGAAACCCCTTTGAAATCACAGATCAGTGCCAATACTTCACAGTCTAACATTAGCTTGTCTTAGGAATGGCAGCATTATCTAACTTACATATAAAGTACCTCTTCTTTTTATGTTTCAGGATTATTAAGACAAATAAATGGGCTTTTCCCAGCTTCTACCTACAGAAGAGCAGCAAGGCTTCTTGGGCTCGAGGGATAGGCTCTTTTACATTTTTCAAGGGGATTCAAGCCTTTGTTTTAGAAAGGCTCCAGCCTGATTTAGTTTTATAGTCGGATTCCCCAGTGGGGAAAAGATGACTCAGAAACCGCACGAGTGGAAAGCGGCACATTTGGTCATGGGTGCAGGGAGGTTGCCCGGACATCCCAGCTTGATGCTGAAGCGGGTTCCTGGGACGTGAGGATGTCAGTTTCATGGGCTTGACAATGTTCCTTTGGGAACTCTATCATTGAAAATCCAAAATGAAAGATATGACACACTTCCAGGGAATTATTTGAGAAGGTTTCCTTACAAATGTTGGATTTGGAGAAGCCCAAGTAGAAGTGTAGTTACTGGGTGTATGGAAACCTGGAAAGGACTGTATGGATATAGCTTCTTGAGAAGAACAGTGAGCACTGACTGACTGAGAGAATCTGAGAGGGAGATAGACCACAGCCTGACACCAGTCTCCTCCCGGCACCTCTTGTCTCCTGCCCGATCTTCACTGGAGGAACCAGCTGGACGGCACCAGGCCCGTCCATGCATGTCCACCACTAGGATCAAGAAGCCTGAGACATTGTAGAGAGCAGATCTAAGCAGGCAAAGGGAAAACGTGCCGGGCTGTGTGCTGTGCTAAGTCGCTTTAGTCCCATCTGACTGTAGCCCACCAGGCTCCTCTGTCCATGGGATTCTCCAGGCAAGAATACTGGAGTGGGTTGCCATTTCCAGCTCCAGGGGATCTTCCCGACCCAGGGACTGAACCAGCGTCTCCTGCAGCTCCTGCGTTGTAGGTGGATTATTTACCACTGAGCGACTGGGGAAGCCCCAGAGGTCAAGATACAAACCCAAATTTTCAGCATCACAATTCAAGCCAAGTTTTCCTAAATAATGACAAGCAACGTGTTTATATCTTGCAACTTTTCCTTCCCATAGAGTTTTAAAGACCCCGTAGAAACTCATTCACAAAAATACCTCAGAGTCAACATTATATTTTCACTCTTAAATGGTATTTCCCAAAGTGTATACCAAATGCTCCTAAAGAAGGGCACGGCAACCCACTCCAGTATTCTTGCCTGGAGAATCCCATGGACAGAGGAGCCTGGCGGGCTATCATCCATAGGGTCACAAAGAGTCAGACACGACTCAAGTGACTGAGCACTCATGCATGCACACATACCAAATGCTATGTTAAACCACAAATGACAACATTTAACCATATTTTTAATCTGCAAAAATGACAATTTCATATTGTTCAAACTAGAACACTTGGAAAACCAAAGTTCAATTAAGCAAGTTTCATTTTTGTAGGAACTTTAATGGATGTGTTCATGTTTATCACTTCCTAAGCATCATATTAATTAAATATAGTATTTGCATAATTATAAATATAGCATATAAATGTCTATTCTCTCAAATAACTATAATAAAAGACACTCCGTTGTCTTTAACCCAAACTAGGAAGATGTCTTTTAAAAGAGAATATAATGAGGAATGTAAAAAATTTAATAAAATAGGGGGAAATGTCAGGAAGCATTTAACAAGAGGCTTCCTGTGCGCTGTTTTGGATCTGTCAGGAACCCTCTGGCCCATATTAATTCCTGAATATTCAGGAATTAAGAGGAGAGGCACGCCTTTCCTGGGGCTGAGGAATCCAGGCATTTCTCACTACAGTGATAAGTACCCTCTTCCTTCTTATGAAAAGGTGATTGTCTGCAACTCTCTCTTTGATAGGGATGTCTTATGTTTTGTAAGTCTGGAATTTTAATCTTTATCTTTGCTGAGAATAACTACCTTGTAAGACAGTATATATGCCCAAGGCATGTTGATTAAAACACCTTTGCTCCATCAGAAAAAAAAATAAATAAAAATTAAAAAATAAGTGATTTCTTTGTTCCATCACATTAATTTTTTTTTCACATTAATTTTTAAAAGGGAAGATTTTAAAAGGTCAGAAATAAAAGAACATTCTCATACCAGATAATCATGCAATCACACTCCTTGGTATTTATGCAAAGGAGTTAAAAACGTATGTTCATACAAAAACCTACATGCAAATGTTTATAGCAACTGTATTCATAATCACCAAAAATTGCAAGCAACCAACATGTCCTTCATTAGTGGGTGAATGGGTAAACAGTGATACATCCAGACAATGGGATATTATTCAGCACTGAAAAGAAATGAGCCATCAAGCTAAGGGAAGCCTAGAGGGACTTGAAATGCACTTTATTAACTGAAAGAAGCCAATGTGAAAAGGCTATATATTATATTATTCCACCTAGCTGATACTAGAAAAGGCAAAACTATGGAGAAAGAAAAAATATAACTGTTTTCCAGCGGTTAGTTAGGATGGGGGAGGAATGAACAGGAAAAGCACAGAGGATGTTTAGGGCAGTGAAACTTCTTTCTATGAGACGGTAATGATGGACACAAGTTATTACACACTTGTCCAGACTCATAGAATGTGCAACACAAGAGTGAATCCCATGTAAACCACGGCCTTAGGGGGATGATGTGTTAGTATGGGTTCATCAGCTGTAACACACGTACCATCTGGTGGGGATGTAAATAAAGAGGGAGGCTGAGTATAGGCCGAGGCAGAGGCTATGTGGGAAAGCTCTGCACCTTCCTCTCAAATGTGCTGTGAACCTAAAACTGCGCTAAGAAAGTCTATTATAAGAGGAAAATAGCAGAAACGCAGCCAGGAGAGTACATAACGGGTAGGAGAGGAAAACATAATCTCATAATAGTACCAATGTTTTTGTTGTCAAATAAGGACAGTGCACCACACACATGCCATGTACTCTCACCACCATTTCTGAAGACAGCGGACATTTTTATCTCACAAAAAAAGAGCAAAAACAATATAATCTTGGAATGAAAACATTTTTCCCCCCAAGCCAGGATAACTGGAACAAACTTACCTTGATACTCTTGCAATAAGCCAGTGAAAGTTTTACCACGTACAAATCCTATTCCATGAGCACATGTTCACAAATTACTGCCTCGAAGCACAGCGAACCCGAGGTAAGAAACTGTGCAGACTTTAACCTCAATTTCATTACCAACCCCTTAAAACATCAAATTGACCTCAGTCCATTTTCTAATGTATATTTTAAATGTGGCTCACAAGTGACCTGCCAAGAGATGAATCGAGCCAGAATGTGCTCATGTGAAAATTCCACCCGGTTTACGATGACAGCTGACCTGGGAGCTACCACGTTACATGACACGTCTAACATGGTGCAGTTTGAAGGGTATTCACAGACTCAGGTGCCACAAGTACCCCCACCCCTTCCGTCTGGAAACCATTCCTTAAAAATGTGCTGGACAGTGAAGGCGGGGACCATCTTCAGGAGGTACGCATTTAAAACTGCAAATGTGGAGCCACTAAGTCCTCAGAGATGACTGTCCTACAGAAGGTGCTGGACACCTCAGCGCTAAGCAGGGACAACATCAGGGGAGCTGAGAGCGGACAGTCAAAGCAGACTGCCAAGGGCCAGACTTCGCGACAGCACCCAGGGGGGTGAGGGAGCCCGGGCTAGATGTCAGGGGTGGGGAGGGGGCACCCAAGACAAACCTGACCTCACAGCTGTCTGGGGCCCAAGTTCAGATACTTACTGAGTAACTCAAATCTTTAAAATGGTTTCTTTCCATATAACTAAAGAGAGCATGGGTTTCCCTTGTAGCTCAGTCCGTAAAGAATCTGCCTGCAGTGCAGGAGACCTGGATTCGATTCCTGGGTTAGGAAGATCCCCTGGAAGAGGGCATGGCAACCCACTCAAATATTCTTGCCTGGAGAATCCACAGACAGAGGAGCCTGGTGGGCTACAGTCCATGGGGTCACAAGAGTTGGACACGACTTAAGGACTAAACCACCACCACCAAAGACAGCATCCATCTATCACCATCTGAGAATGGAGAGAATTTCCTAAGACAAACTGTTCTCTGGATAGGGGTTTTCAAAGTTTCATATTTTGCTCCACAAAAGGTCCATCCCTGTCGCGGGTGGAGTGGGGAGCCTTTAGACACGAATGGGCCCTGCCTCCCTGGCAACCTCGGGATGAGAGGACCGCGGAGGGAGGAGGGGCCTGTTCACCTACTTGAGAACTGCACGGAGAAGCCGGACTTGCTGATGAAGAAGTCGCTGTCGAACTGCAGGGTGAGGGAGTTGAAGGTGCTGTGGATGTCCTCGGGCAGCGCCGAGCCGCTCCACTCCTTCAGCAGGATGGCGCTGTCCGCCGGGCCGTCCCACACCCGCAGGATGTCGTGGGCCAGCTCCGTGTCAAACACGATGAAGTGCAGGCTGCAAGGAGAACACGGCTGAAGCGGGCCGGCAGCGAGGGCGCCCGGCGCAGAACTCAGGGGCGCCCCAGCCCGTTTCCCGTCCCCCAGCCCCACCCCAGCGCGCGCGTCCCTGTCTGCCGGGCCTGGGTGAGCCTGGAGCCTCACCCGGCGGGCTCAGGCGGCCCGCCAGCAAACGGCCGAGCCCGCCGCTTCTGTCCGAGATGGACGCAGTGAGGACACGCAGCTGTCGGCTGCGCTGGGTGCTCAGGGGTGAAACCAGGTCTTCGGAGACCTCAGCTCTTTTCACGATTCCAAGCTCTTTCTTTCTGGCACGCCGACCAAAGATGGGTTTGACACAACTTTGTTCTAAGCTAGTGGCAGGGTGTGATGCCTGTGGTACCAGTGTCGTTCCCGAAACGCCCCACGAGGTGGCAGCATGCAGGCCAGGAGAGCCGCTGGCAGAGATGGTCACACCAGGAGGTCCCCGTCTGCCTGTACCTGAGCGACCTCATCCTCCGGGGTGTCTGCTTTTATACAGTCTATCTTCAGGAAAAATGCATGATTTGAGATACCAACACAAAAGCGGAATTGTGTAGTATAAACTCCTTTTCTTGTAATATTCTAACATACTATCAGATTTACAGATATTTTTCAGAGTAACATAAAAAATCTCTATGTCAGAGGAAGCCACAGACCTGTAGTTCTATCTATGGCAATTCACATGGATAAAAGAATTTAATATCAACAAAAATCCATATTTCCTGAATGCTTTCATTGTCTTTCACTTACTGCTAATTGCATGAAATTGTCAGAAAGATAAAAATCACAATAACTACTATACAAAACACTCTACACAAATACTAATTACTTACTTTGTGCACATTACATACTCAAAGAAAATATCTAACCCTGAATAAAGTATAAAGCATGTAGTATATTTTTAAAAGTTCAATTTAAAATATCTTTAATAGAGAGGAAAGCACAGAATATAGTAGACACTTGGATACCCACCATCATCTTAATATTTTGCCATATTTGCTTCAGATGTCTTTTTTTAAAAAAATCTATATTAATAACACAGTCCTACTCCCCCTCCTCTCCACTTACTTATTGTTTTTCCTCTCACTCCCACCTCCTGAAATCACAATGGTTTCTTCTCATTTATATTTTCATGATTCTCATATGCATATACGTGTATACATATATCCAAAAATATATACTACTATTTTGTCCGTTTAGCAATAATTACATAATAGATGTAGCTTTGTCATGTATGTGCTTGTCTCATGTTCAAGTTGCTTTTTTTTCTTTAGCTTTTATGTGTGGCTTTGTTTGTTTCTGTATTCAGTCACTCTGCATAGCTCATGGGATCTTAGTTCCCTGACCAGGGGTCAAACCTGGGCCCTCGGCAGTGGAAGTGCAGAGTCTTGACCACTGGACTGCCAGGGAATTCCCTCAAGTTGCTTTTTTACATTGAGTGTTAGGTGAAATTCCTCTAAACTAGAGATGTAGACTTTGGTAACTCACTTCAGAAGCAGAATAAATGCTTCACTTGTCCCAGGCTGTACTGAAAGAGTCAGTCTCTATATTTGATGATGATAGATGGTGCTCTTCCTTGGATCTCTCTAGGCTCAGAAAGAGAAATGGCAAAGTTGTTCTCCCTGAGAGGGCTCTGTGTTGCCACGCCTTTAGCAATACCTGATGACATCAGCCTATAATAGTTGTACAAAGAGAAAATCTGATGGTCCTGGGGAGGTCTCTTGTTTAAATGACATCTCCCTGAATATTTGTGAGGTTGAACATACTGTTATGAGTCTAAAGCAAACCCCCTTCAATATACAATGCAGTTCAACAATTCAAGGAATACTTCTTGAGCACAGACTGTTATCAGGCACTCTTCTAGGTATTTTGGATACATCAGTGAACTAAAGGAAAAACCCTGCCTTCATGGAGCTTGCACAATTGGTAATGGGAGGAGATGAGCAAAAAAAACTCAGAAACTAAAAAATAAGAAAGTTGCATGTTGGTAGGTGGTAAATGTCACTGAGAAAAGAAAAAAAAGCAGAGCAGAATAAGCAGCCATCGGTCTTGACAGGATTGAAGGGCAGGGAGGAGATTTAGGAATTAAATGGCTGGATAACCCATGTATTTAGGAATTAAATGAGATGGCTGGATAACCCATGTTGGTGAGGAGAACCCTGAATAGAGACTTGAAGGAGAAGAGAGGTTTGTTATATTTGCAGAGGATCTTCCTGAACCAGGGATCAAACCCAGCCTCCTGCATTGCAGGCGAATTCTTTACTATCTGAGCTACCAGGGAAGCCCCACATTTGATGAGAGGGCAGAGTGAACCTGCAGAATCCCGACACAGAGGGCACACCGTCAGCGTTTGAGACCATGCGGGCAGGCAGTGTAATGAGCAGAGAGGGGGCCTGTGGAAGAGGCTTTAAGGCCAGAGAAACATGCGGGTGGTGGACGGGGGTGCGACGGGCGAGGCCCAGGGCTTGCAAGCTTATTCTGTGGGCTCTGGCTCTCACCCCAGGTGACCCACCAGGGCGGTGTTTGTGATGAAGTAGTCACCTCACCTGTGATTAAAAAAGAAAAGAAAAGAAAAGAAAAATTGCTCTGTGCTTGTGTTGACAACAAGCTCTCCAAGGAAAGGCAGAACCGAGAATCAGATGTGTGCTGCTTAGAGGAGTGGACCGGGGAGCACTGGGTGGCTGGCAGGTTCTGGGCACAGTGTGATGGTGGGAAACACGGCCATGGGAGGCCTGTGGGGTGAAGAGAGGATGCGAGGTCACTCGAGGGTTTGTGTGTAAGTAATGAGAACCATGGAGAAGTCACGGCTGAGCGGGGGAGGGTGCAGGTGCAGGGTCTGTGGCGTGGGAAGACCAGACGTTCTGGGTTGGGCCTGTGAGTTCAAGATGCCCAGTGGACAGTGAGCAGCTGGCTGCTCATGCCAATCTGGAGCTTTGCAGAGAAGTCTGGAAGGAAAGAAAAACCCGTGTGTTCAGCAAATAAATGGCTTTAAGCCACGGGACGAGATGAGACCATCACAGGTCTTAGGCAGAGGGAAGAAGAGGCAGGAGACTGAATGACCCCATCACATTGGACTGCCCACTGCTGTGAGGCGTGCTGCGTCTCTTACTACTGTTTGTGTATGGTATTGTATTCTTGTGGAAAGATTTGATTACATACTCTATCATTTTAAGAAAAATCCCCTGTTGCTCATGATGCTGGGAAGGCTTTTATCTAGTTATGCTGTTGATCATGAAAATGCATTCAATTCTATTAAACTACTTTTTCTAAACCTGTTTAGATGATCTGACAGGTCATTTTTCTTACTATATAAATAAGAGTAATTTTAGAGTTCAGCTCTTAATTTTTATTTCTAGCTCTTGTTCTTTGATATGAAGGTTATTTTAGTCTTATTAAATGGATCAGCTATTTCTCTAGTTTTTTCTTTTGCCTGGGAGATTTTTCCAATATATTGACATAATATAATCTATTATTTTTTCAATGTTGTAAAAACAATTTCTATTGTAGGAGTGTATTTCTATTCCATTTCTAATATTGGTTATTTGGGTTTCCTGTATTTTATCTGAATATGTCAGTTATTTTTCTACTCAATGATAATTTTTTTAAAGAATCAGTTTATGGGTTTGGTAATTCTCTACATTTTTCTTCCATTAATTTATGTTACTGTGTTTGCTGTTTTTCCACTCTACTTTTTTAAATTTATTTTGATACTATGTTTCAAATTCCCTTATCTGGAAGCTTAATTTACTGATCTTCAAGTGATCGTCTTTTTCTAATACTTGTATTTAGGGCTGTAAATTTCACATTAATCTCTTAATCACATGTCTTTTATTTTCAAGATGGAGAATGTATTTTGTTACTTTCTTGTTATACTTTTTTATTTCTATTACATTTTGATCAGGATGTGGAGTATAGAAGAAAATGATTTTCTGTTTTATTGATTTTTATTGATTAGTTTTCTTCTAGTTTGTGATCATATCTGTACATGTTTCATATTTACTTGAACAGAATGTGCAAATTCTACTTGAAGGCTATATAACTCCTTTAAATAAGTTCAGTAATTGCATGGTTCAAATCCTCCGTAAACTTACTAATGTGTTACCTGTTTGATTTGTGAGTCATAAAGAATTATAAGAGGAGTGCTGTGCAATTTCCAATGTCTTCAAATTATTTATTTATTTTGTTTGTATTAAACTATGTTCCTAGCTGGATACTAGTTTCTCTTAAGAGTCATATATGCCTGGTAACTATATATCAAATAGTATTTTGTGTGTTCACAGTAATTACATAGGCAATCCCTGGTGGCCTAGTGGTTAGGATGCCAGGCTTTCACTGCCATAGCCAGGGTTCAGTCCTTGGTCAGAAAAATAAGATCCCACAAGCTGCAAGGAATAGCCGAAATAACTTGCAAAACAGGAACTCTTGTAAAGGAATGATAGGCAGCTTGAATATAGATTCCAGGTTGACCGTTTTATATATATAATTATCTGGTTCATGAAAAAGGTTGCACTGCAGTTAATGGAGAAACACTGGCTTATCAACAAATGTCAAATGAACTGCACTGTGGACAAAAAAATTCCTTGAATCTTCCTCATAACTTACAGAAAAATTAATTCCAGATGGAATGAAGACATGTAAATGTGGAAGATAAAGTAAGTCTTCTGCAAAAATCCTAAGATAATGTTTTTTATAATTTTGGAGAGGCAAGATTTCTTAAACTGGACACAAAAATGTTAAGATAAAAATTGATATAACTCAATTTGACTACATATAAACACACTAGCCATGAAAGAAAAATGAGCCAAAATGAATTGGATTCATAGAAATTGAAAACTTGTCTTTAACAAAAGACATCATTATGAAACCATAAAGACAGACCAGAGTATAAGAATATAGCTGCTAAATATAGAGTCAACAAAAGATTGCATTCAGATGTATAAAAACTATATACAAATCAATAAGTAAAGGACATATATTCCC